AAATATTAGTTTAAATTAGTGTAAATCTCTCTCTCTCTCTCTCTCTCTCTCTCTCTCGCAGATTAAGTATCTCACCGAATGACTTTGGTCCCGTTACGATAGACAGCCATGGACACGATGGTGCCTGACTCGCTCGCCGTGAGGGACAATTCCCGAAATTCCGCCTGCTCCACGCGGATCTCATAATCACCATGCAGTCTGCGTCCTCGGAAGTATTTGCTCCAGTCGGTGTTCTGGTCGTCGATCACCAGCAGAGTAAAGCATCGATCTTTGCTGTATGACTGGCCTCTGGTCGCGCCAGACACCGCCGCTCCCAAAATAGAAGCACCCTGTGCACGTCATTTTAACGTCAGATACTGTTACACTTTCCCTTCGCAACGTGCGACATAGTAACTGACTAGAAGCGGAAGGCTGTAATTGAACAGATTATTCTAGAAACGATACAGAATCACGCTAATCGGTCAGCATTGCACGAGTGGCGATTATCAATATTCATTTCAATGCTATAATCTATTGCGACGTAGACAATTATACCGGTGTTCTGACGTCAAATCAAGGTATATTTTTTATTCGCGATTCGGAATAATAACCTATCAAACAAAATAAATATTGGAAATTTGAACTTTGAACTTTTGCAGTGAAACATTTTTTAATTAAATTTTAAAATACGTGCAATATGACATATCGCAGAACGTTGACAGTACTTTGAGATATCACTTATCGGAGTTATTAATAATCCCGCCTCGCGGCTACGATGACGAAAAAACGACGGAGCTGTCACTTTATATGATTAATGAAGCTAATTTTCGATCAGATAAAAGTGTTAGATGCGGACAAAATAATAGAATAAAATGAAACAGAGAGAAAAAAAAAGAAACAACTTGCCTGGTCACGGGCGGCGCCGGTCAAACTCTGCACCCGCTGGAGCAAACTCTCCCGGGTCTTCGCCGGCGAGGACGGCGCGCTGGTGGTCCGCGAGCCGGGTCTCAAGTTAAGGCTGAGATCGCCGCCGATGGGCTGCGGTGGTCCCTGGGGCGGCGCGCCCGGTATCGGCGGCTGTGTCGGAGGCGGTATCGGGCCCGGTTGGGACTGCAGCGGTCGGTCCGGCACCGCTTGATACGGCTGAGACGAGTCCTGCCGGCCCACGGTGGCCAGCCCAGGATCGGAGTTGGGCTCATCGTCGAGCTCCGAGCTTAGGTCCCCTGACGAGAACCTGGAAGACAAGCTATCGTGGTCGTCGTGACAGTGATAATCGGTCGGGAGGTCACGCGCTCTGACGCTTTTCCTGACTGCACATTTCAAATGCACATCGATCACACAGCCAAACGTTGGTGCTGGCGGGATGAGGAGCGTGGAAATGATGACGTCGGCGATGATTTCCAGCGGTCGCTAATCGGCCGGCGTTACATGCGTGGCGGATGTCAATATCTGTTTCGATGTCATAATTGTATATTGCGTAGACGTGGACGATTACGGCGTTTCAGCGCGGAGCAGCTGCGTATTTGTTTTTTATCTACGACCCGGAACTCTTTTTTTCCGGTGAATTTGTTCCGCATCGAGTAAAACGAGCACCGAGGCGCGAACAACAGCATGGCATTCACACGAAACCACATCGTTGCGCATTTACGTCATCGAGTCCCACACTATCGAGCGTCCGTGTGATTACTCGTCATAAGTAAAAGCGGGAGATGAAAGACGCGATATCTCTGATGAGAACGGGGGGGGAGTAACGTTAACATACCGTTGCCAGGTGCAAGGCAACATTAGCGCGATGTTGATATCGTGGCGTGCGTCCAGGCTACTGCATTCGGGGCAATGCTGGAAGCGATATTTTTAACGAGCCGCATGCACACATTCAGACTTGTCACACATTCGGACACGAAAGGTTTGAAATTGTTAATAACAACATTGAGATACCTGCGTGTTTAAATTTTCTGTTGACATTTTAATGCGAGCATAACGATGCTTTACTTCGATAAAACAGAGGTTCTCAAACACCTCGATATGATCTTTTCTGATAATTAAAAAGATTTCCTTCCTTTTACAATGATTAATAGTACTTATAAAAGCATCACTGATTGCGAGAAAATGTAGAACAAATTCTTTTATCAATTTACACAGTAATATTGATTTGTTTCATTAAATATTTTAATAATTTCCTTTTTTTTTATGTTAAGTACTCTAGATGAAAATGAGAAGTGTAACGTGAAACATAAATATACATTGTCTTTTTAAAAAGAATTCAAATAGCTATAATTTCAAGGAGTTTAATTTCTAATGTCGTGAATAATGAGAAAATGTGATTTGTGCAGCCGTTGTCACATTGTTATTGATAAGCAAAGAGATCATTTTCGTACTTATAGTAGTAAAGTAAGTTTAGCATAATCGCGTTTCCAACTCTCCTTCAAATTCTCGCGTTTCAGTTTGCGTTATCACTTTACACCTGCTAGCCTGGAAATTCTAGCGTCGAGTTTCAGTGATTGTCCCAATTTCTAACACCGTAACTTTGTCACGTTGTTGCCGACGCTTGTTTAATGGCCGACTCAGGTGAGGGCTTGTGTCCGGCTAATTGGACAGAGGAATCTATTTTCTCTTGACGAGCGCATTATGGGAGGCGAGAGCCCATGGAATATTGAGATACCGCACGTAGCATTTTAACGGCCGATTATTATCATGCGTACATTGGTGTGTGTAAATTAACTCGATGTAAGAGCCATACTCGTAAAAGGATTCGGCTTGCCTGGACGATATAATACACGGGCTTTCATCACTGTGTGCCTTTCAACAACATATTGGTATTCACTGGCGAGTGAAATCGAGCGGGCGTTTCGATCGAAATATTTTTATGCCAGAATTTAATAACAGGCATTTCTGGGCTTAATTCGATAACAGTGTATGAAAGCTAATGATAATCACATTAAAAGCGCGTTACACTATGAATAGTACAATGAGAATATAAATCGCTGTTCGCAATTTTAAGTTACAAATTAAATATTTATACATGTATAACGTTAATAACGTTAATAACAATAATAACGAGAACCAGAAATAAGAATAATTGGCGCAAATTATTCATTTAATTTGCAAACCTTTTTTATAGATTTGTAAACTGTTTGAAATTTGTTATTCATCTTTTTTAATGAAAATATTTTTCACAGATCAGCCTCGAGAAAATCGGCGGAAGCTTACACAATACAATTGCATTTTATTTCATGCAGATTCTGAATGTGGGCTGACATTCTCTTTGATGATGAAATAATCAAAATATCGTCAGAGTTTTGAAAATAATATTCATATAAATATTATTTCGCAATTTCTGATGCTGTGCATGCGTCCATAAAATTGTGCAAAATATATATATAATAGCTTCAACTCATCGCAGAATGTTGTAAAACAAAAAAGAGAAATGAACACGAAATTAAATGCCAGCCCTGCAGTCCGGATCCGACGTGATAGAGGTACTAGCGACTCACCTCCGTTTCAGGTAGTTGACATTGGTGGTGAAGGACTGACGAAAGCTGGAGAATGAAATGTTGCCGGGTGAAGGAGCTGTACCACAGTACTTGGCGCAACCGCCGCGGCCGGTAATCTTGATGGTTTACACCGGGCTTGCTGTCGCGATGAAACGGTTCGCGATTTCGTCGCTCGGATGTTGTTAGCGATGCGGCGGATAACGCGCTCCGATCCTTTGTCGTCGCCGACGGTCTTGAGCTGCCGGTGAGACGATATCGTCGCGACACACGCGAGAAGGGGATCGTTCGTTGTTGATTAATGGATCGTGTCGATGGATCCCGGATCGATGGGTGGCTTTCTCTGCTCGAAGCGTCACGGGATAAACTTCAACGTAAGGTAATCCGAAAGGAAAGGATGAAATAAGAGGAGGTGAGGAAGGAGAAAATAAACAATCCAAGTTGAAATCTGTAATAGATAAAAGAGCAAAGGCATGTCAAGCTATTCTGATTGTAAATTTTAATAATAAAAATTGTATTAGTTTAAAATTGAGTTGGAAATATTTGAAATATATGAAATAAATACGAAATTTCTAAGCTGAAATATCAAAGTATGGAATGCTGCTTATTCTACTGTTTATTTATTTTTATTTATTTGTTACGTTTATTTATTAATTCCAACATGAGAATAAATATAATGCAAAGAATAAATATAAATTCCATTATTTTGCAGTTTAACAATAACAATAATATTAAATATTTGTTTCTAAATTATGTTGGAATTGTTTTAAAAAGCATATTAATTATTTCTCTTGTTACATTCGCGACTTTCTTCATTTCTTTGAGTATTTAAATTATATCGAATATTTTAGTATATGAGTACGGCATTCAGATTCTTAACGATTCTAATTCAAAGAGTTTTTTTTTAGTTCGATTGACTTAAATGAAATGACGATTGCAACAGAGAATGACATACTTTTGTTGTGAGACATCTCTACGTAATTGGGTTCTTCTGGCGTATCGGAAACAGTAAGATCATAAAATTGGCTTGTGTTACTTTCTTTACGACACGCTTCATGCAGCCTTCTACACTATTACGGTAATAAAAACTGCATCAGAAATTCGATTTTACTTTTCAATGAATAATTCAAACCAGATATTTGGAGGAATACGCGAGAAATTTCAATAAAAATTGACACAATAAATAACTATTGAGAGAAAAATCAGACATATAATTGAAAAGAAAAAGTTGTCTGTAAATTTCTAAAAATTTGTGATGACAAACTTCTGTTGTTAAATGTTTCGCTGCCAATAAACTTCGAAATCACGTATCACGCATTAACCAGCAAAAATTATGGATGTAACCGGTATGACCAACGACTCGAAGCATAATGACGCTCGCGAAAATCGATACCTAGAGCACGATTTTGCTTGGAATTTCTGAAATGTTTCACGGCATCACAAGAGTTTGTCGGCATTTATGTATTCTTGGAACATAGCGCAGCACGAAAATGTTACTTCTATGGCTTTGCCCGTCGATCGTATCATCAGGTAAAATATGCCTTCTTTGAAGAACTCACGGGATAATTTTATACTTACGCGGCGAGAAAAGAAGCGTCGAGGAAGCAATGATACGTTCAAACCGTTCATATTTGTTTCTTACAAGCTTCTCCGATAATAACGACGCCCATGGTTCACGGAACCGACAAACTTTGCGTGTAGCAATTTTCAACTTCCTCGGAATATTGCTCAAGGAAGAAAACTTTGATTCTCATTTAAGAATTTGAATAAACACATGTTATACAAGCATACAAAATGTCTTTACAATAGACATCAAAAGAAATAGTTGTTTCTTACACGTTAAAATATTTATAAAAATTATTATATAAATTTAAAAAAAGTATTTGGTTCAATTATCATGCAAATACGCAATTTAACATTTTGAAAATAAATTTTAGTTAAAACCATGTTCTAACTAATTTTAAAACGATAAGATCTCTAAAACTAAGATATTTTGCGGAGGACGCAATGGACTCATCAAAATCTCTCTTTTGCAAAGAAAAAATTCTGAATTTTTCAGCTCGCAACTGAACTAACATCTGGTTTTAAAACATTCCGTATGCTACTTTATCATAAATATATGCTATCCTTTCAAGTCAAGACTGCTTTGTGATATTACAGTGATTTCAGTTACTCCGCCTTCGAATTTGTTTCTTTGGGAGATTCAAATCGCGTAAACGTATAATTTATATCAAAATTATATGAAAGAGAGCTACGTGATACTAATGAGAAATAAATTAAACTCCTGTTACAGCGACTTGCACACGATAATATTTCGTAGATTTCACAGCTTGGTGCAGTGCATTGCGCAGAATTATCCCCGCGTTGCGAATAACAACTATCTGTTAGACCGCGAGGTGGTAAACGAGTCGGAGAGCTATTACGTGTTGATGACTTACGCTCGTGGATGGGATTCATCAAGCATTTTATACGTACTATACTGCTGCGTCGAATGATCAATAACTATATTATACATAGAACCAAGAGAGTTTCAAATAAATTATAATTTATTTTATATGAGACTGCGCAAAATTAAAAATGTGAATTGAAATTGCAGTACAACTACATATCAGTTATAGGCTTAAATAACTCTCTTAATATAATATTGATATTTTAATTAATTTATAATTATTAATGTACAATAATTAATATTTAATAGTTAATATTTAATTATTATTCTAGAAGGTCTGTGGAAGAATAATTACGGACAAAATCGACTAAAAATAATGCAGCTTATATAAAAAAAAGTAAGATATTAACGCTGTCACATTAAGCGTCGGGTAAATGGAGCAATAATTTAATAATTATTTCATATTCATATTTTATAACTACGTTGAATAAAAATTAGGAGCTATAATCGTTTTTTAATTTTAACATCTCTCTGGAGAACTATTCAATATCATTTAATTTTAAATAGTAAGTAGGTGACCGTGTAATTCTGTATAGTTAATTTAGCCCCTAATCGTACGAATGTTACAATTAAATCCGTTTACAAAATTCATTTTGCTATTTATTTATCATTAAGTTAGAAGTAATGTAAATGCAAAAATCGATACGTCTGCTCCACTAAAGTTTTATTTAGTCAGACAGAAATCCAAATTTATCGCGAGAGTAATTAACGCAAATAAACCCTTGACAATTCTACACAAATTGGAGATACCCTTGTTTAAATTAAAGATATATTAATTAAAAGCTCGAAACAGTAATACGTAAGTGTTGCAGTGAATATAATTAAATTACAAAAGGATGAACGTAAATATGCAAATTCTTTTATATTAATATCCGAATGAACTGGACGCAAATATTACTTTTTCGCATTATTTTCGTATATTAAATTTTACGCGTACAAAATTTTTTTATTTATAGCAATTTTAATTGCAATAAAACATGCATATTGATGCTTGAATTTATGTAATTGCGCAGATTAAATCTCTTTTAAAATAAATGCTTCATTCTCTAGCTTGGTTTAATCTCTGCATTTAATTCAGAGTTCGGAATTCTAATGAAATTTGTACATAATATCTCCTGTTATATCTGTTACACGTTTGGCCCAGATTAGAACGTGCGATAAACGTTACAAGAAATTACATAACTGTATAGAGAATTGTGCCAATACGTTCGTGTGTAAATGTGTTAAAAATAAAAAGCATTATTTATACAACCGCTATAGATATCGGGTTTTATTTAGGCCCTCGACTAGATTAATCAATAAATTCTTTCCGAGAGAAGAAAGAGTCGGAATTTTTTAACGTATCTGATCTGTACTTATTATGTATTGCATGCAATTGATGCTTCACGGAGATAGATAAAGACAAATGGCTGTATGAAAGATTAATGACTTGATCATAAATACCAATTAATTTTAATCAATATAATTGATTCTTTATCTCTGTCTAACGGAGTAAAAAATGCATTTTTATTGTGTCGCATTTTACGGTATAAAATATTCAAGATTTTAATCATTTTCACCTCAAATATAAATTTATGGATTGAAAAGTGCATTTTTATCGTGCCGCACTTCACAATTTAAACGCATAATATTAAAAATTTTTACGCTGAACAATTTTTATCTCAAATTACAACCGAAAAATATGTTTCTATCGTATCACAATTTACGGTCCAAAATGTACTATATTAAAGACTTTTACTTTCGGCAACTTTTATCTCAAATTTACGGAATAAAAATAGTATTTTCATTGTCCCGCGATTTACGAGTTAAATGCAGTATTAAGTATTATTACACTCAACGATTCTCGAGGGCAAATTTTTGAAATAAAAAATGCATTTCCATCGTCTCGTGGTTCTCAGTCTAAATGTAATATTAAAGATTGTTACGTTTAATAATCGTTATTTCAAAGACAAATTTACGTGTATACCGATGCCACAGAGGCAATAAAACTTATCTCATAAAAAGATATATTAAGCGCATAAAGAGAATGGCGTTTCTGTACAAAAGAATATTGCTCTGCGCGCGATTACGCCGATCGTGAAGATTCATCTCAAAACGGCCAGCATTCTAAGAAAACGCGGCTTTTATTAACGTTACGGCAAAAGGAAAGATGGAGAGACGTTCGCCAGCGTTCGTGAACGTAAAATAAATTTCGCCCAAAAAAATCGATGGAAGTGCTGCTTCGCAAAACGCACCTTTCGCCATCTCTCTCTCTCTTCTCTAAAAAAAAAACCAATGTCACCTTTACTTAAATTATTATCTCGTTTCCCGATTCCAACTATCTCAACTATTTACGACATTGAACATCGATTGCATCCCGTCTAACCGAGACACCGGGATCTTGCGCAATGAACGTAAATCCGAAAATTGCACTCGCACCTACCGAAAAATATGCACCCTCACTGAGCCGGATAACGATCCCGTTTATCAACGATGTAATCTGCGCTGCGCTCGTCTTCGCGTTCAATACGCGAGCAGCGGTGACTTACCTCGACGATCTTGTCCACGAGTACGTTAATTCGAGACTACGCTCGATAAGCGGCAGCTGAACACTCGATCACGCCGATTCACAAGCTCACGACGTTGTTCGGACGACGACGTTATCTGCGCGGCTTATCGGCAGGCACTATC